AGACCCCTTATCTGGAGGAAGAGCGCCCGCCCCACCAAGACCAAGGCAGACAAGTTTTTGTCCCTTTACCCCCGCCCCACCACCTCCGACGTCTCCTCCGCTGCCCCCTCCTCCGCCCTTCTCGCTCCCGCTACCCCCCCTTCCAAGCCCGAGCCCATTCTGGCCTCACCAAAACCGCCCCCGACTCAACCACTCCATGCCCCCCAACCCTCTCCCTCAATCAGTCCACCCTGCCTCCAGTCCCCGCAACCGAAGAGCCACACCAGGAAGTGTCGCGAGAAGGTCACCAAGCAGTTTGAGAATTTGCTCGAAGTCCTTCCACGCCCTCCAAATGGCGTCGAAGTCAAGCACAAGGCCCAGATACTCGAGCTCGCCATCAACACCTTCCGCCACCTCTTGCTCAAGAGAACATCGCTGCAAGCTGAGATCGCTCTAGCATCAAAGCAAGCTCTACGCCAATGGATGGACGTCACCATTGCCTCTGTCTCTGCCTCGCTGCCCCGCGATCTCCGCGGCAACGTTCCGCTTTCCGCCATACTCGAACCCTTTGTCGGTTTGTACTGTGTGAAGAAGGGTTGGACATATGGCGAGATGTGGATCGTTGACGACAATTCCCAAGCATCCCTGGCCTCTTGTGTCTTCAACACGGATAATGAACAAGTGCTCAAGAGGTACGGAACCTTTGCCACCATGTCCAAATCCCGTTATGCTGCCTCGTCCCATCTCAAGTCTGGTATTGTGCAGCGTGTCATTGCCTCCAAGCGTCCCGAATGGCTCGACGACCTCGCGGCCGACCAATCTTCATTTGAACGCGCCCCACTCGCCGCCGAACACGGCCTTTGCGTGGCGCATGCTGTGCCTGTCATGCTTGGAGAACACCGCTGCTCAGGTGTTCTCCTCTTCGCAGACGTAACCCCATGCGCCTTCTCCACCGCCGAGATGACGACGTTGCTAGACCACACGTCCACCCTTGGTGCCTTGCACATGGAGTATGCCTCGCAGGCGGAAACGAGAATATACCACCCACGACCGCAGGAGGCAAAGTTGGAAGCAAAACCGATTCGTATCGCAGAGGCCGCGATCATATCGCCAGATCGGACATCCACCTCAAACCTTCCGGCCCAGTACCCGGGTTGCAGTGTGGAGCAACGTAGCGGGGCCTCCGGCCCGGGCTTTTTGCTGCAGTCCTCAGAGACCTCTGCACTCTTTAGCGAGCCGGAGTTTCTGAGCCGAACGTAACCGCGTGAGTGCCCTTGTGCAAGCCGCGGCTTCCTTGCTGTCACTTAATTTCCCACCCGTTGCGATCGTCACTATTTGAATCCTGCACTGCAAAGTTTTCCGACCTGTGGTCATGTGAAGAGTGAAAAGCTTCGTCGTAGAGGGCTTACGGGGGGGACATTTGTGCACAGCCTTAAATTAACTTTATCGGTAAGGTACTTCCTAAAAGGTACAATACTGTAGCGTTCTAGCTCAAAATGATGAACAATTGTAAAGACGCCGAAATACGGCCCAGATGTATCAAATGACCATGAATAACATCAATCTTGCCGTAGCCCATATAGAGATAACCGATCAGTGAACGCGGCGAGCGACCCTAAGGACTGAATACGTAGCGACGTTGGTCAGCTATGAACGGGGACCCGTTCGCTACTATGGCTCTGTATGCAAAACGGAAGGCTACTGTTTATCACCGACCCAATAACCTCTGGAAGAAATCGGCTTTCGCGCGAGATGGCTTCGGATGGGCCGGGACAGTCTGCTTGCTCTTTGCAGCTGACCCTGACGCAGAAGCGATTTTCGCCTTCTCCGTTGCCGCCTCCTGTGCTTGCTGGTGAGTAGCGATTTTAACCTCAAGGGACTTGAGCCATGACTGTTCTTTCCTCATATCCTCTTCCCTCATCTTCGCCGCCTCTTCCTGAAACTTAACCATCTCTTCAGCTTCTGTCAGCACAGGAAGCCGAATAGCTTCCTCACTACTCGTTGGACGGTTCCATGATGAATCCCGAATGATTTCGTCATAATCCCAGCCAGCAGCATCGGCAACCGCCCGAATCTTGCCCTCCGAGTCCCAGCCCGGTGGAATAATGACGTCCACTGCCGATGACAACGAGGGCTCCCCCCATATACGCAACAACGGGGCGTGGTCACTGTTCGTCATGTCTAGCGAACCCTGACCCCACGCGTGAAGCAAGCGCTGGACCAGCTGCACGGCCCTACCCGTTTTCTCCCCGCTCCCCGTAGGAATGACCAACCCCATGCCCCCGAGATAATTCAATGCCGCACTGCGTATCGCGCACTGTTCCTTGCCGTCTCGACTGACGACGGCGATGACGATTCTGTTCGGGTTGGGGGACTCAATATGTGCTGAGATTTCGCGGAGCTCAGCGGCCGTCTCGACGATAACCACCCATTGCCAATTTTGGCGGCTGTGCATTGCTTGCAACGCTAGAATGTCACATGTTAACGCCGTATCCACCGGGGCTAAAATGCCCGTATAGGAAGGGTTGAATGTTTTTCGGGCCTCCTCAGTGCCTGCAATGAACGTCTGGGACGGAAGGGGAAGCACAACTTCCGGTGCTATCTTCGCTTGCCACGCGTTCAGCATCGGGTATGGTACTTCTTGTGGTCGTTCATACACAGAAACGGAAAAGCTCAGGACTTGGAATTGCTCTGCGTGGGGAGTCTGGATATCCCTACGGAGAAGGGCATGATTTCGAGGTCTGAGTTGGAAGAGTAGCGCGCGTTTGGCCGACCGTTGGTTGTGCCGAGGGAATGAATTCCGCAGGCTGCGAAGCGCGGGAAATTTTGAAAAGTTGCAAAAATAGTAGCCACGTATACAGAGAAATGACTATTTCTCTGTTTTCTCCGAATGCGCGGCTCCTGCCGCAACCCTCGACAGGTCCAGGGAGAAAACCATGTTATGTATCCCGCTTGGAAAATGACGTGGGCATTGCAAACGCAATTGCGCGGGTCCTCTTCACTGCTCAAGTCGGTATGTGTAACCTTACCAAGGAAAGTGATTCAACTTACTTTATAATATAGGCAGCGATCAATGAGAAGAGTTTTAATTCCTATGTGTTCATATCCTCCATAATCTATCGATGGGTTACAATACAGCTTATTTCCAGAAGACGTCCGTTCGACAAAGCCCGATATCAGAAACTTCTTGTCCAATGTGCTTACATCGCGAACTGAGTCTCATGAAGACTCGTTGCATTTCGAAGAGCGGTTCTGTCTTATTCTCGTCCTGGCGACTTCCTCTCTCTCTATACTTCTTCGCAGAACTCCTATATCACGACTCTTTTTCGTTCAATCGTCTCTTCCTAAGCAATACTGCGGCCCCACTTGAATAAAAGGTAACATGGACGTTATTGTCCATTATATATCGTCGACAATCATAAATAGCGTCAACGCAGTCAGAAAATGACTCCCTTGACATACTTTCATTAGTTCTGCTTTCGGCTTCTTCATCACCAAAGATAGTGTGAAGAAGGCAGTACAGAACTCCCCCAGAGTCATGGTCTTTCCCAACATGGGTGCGTTGTCCAGCTACGATGCGCATTTCCTTCCACGGTGGCTGCCTCAAAAATCGCCGGATGATGTCAACAGCATCCTTTGAAGAAAGCCTGTGAAGGTCAAGCTCCCCCCATTTTTTATACCAACTCCTAACGCTTGAGATGGCCATCTCATTCAGATGTTTTCTGAGGTATGGAAGACCGTAGCGTGAAATGCCTTCTTCTAGCTTACCTTGATGGATGTCGTCTCGTAGATGACACAATTCTCTGTGCAAATCCTTGAAACCATTATATGACGCGCCCCACTGGAGACTCCAGAAATCTTCGTCCAGAACTTGGTATTGCTGCCGGTGGGCTGTCCACGTGTCAATGAGGCCTTCTGCTCTAGATAGCTTTTGTCTACTGATTTTCGAGATACTGTTTTCATGAACTCTTGTTGTAGAAAGGGACAGCGGCGCAAGACTAATGGATGTTCTTCTTAAAGAAGTACCAGGCGTCCCATGTCCAGATTTGAGTACGAGGAAGTCATAAGTGTCTGCGTAATCGCAGTCGTTTCGACGGAAGCACTCTGTGATAAGCTTAGAACTGTGGTTAAAGATGAAGTTAAGGTACATATGATTTCGGGATTGCATCTTAGATGGGTCTTGAAAACATTGTTCATGGGTAGGAGGTTGTAAGTCTGGCGGAGTTGGAAAACTATTTTCAAGGAAGGCAGAGACCTGTTTCGGGGACCGGCCCTCTGTTTCGTTTTGCATCGTAGTTGTTTGCTTTGGTGGGCGTGCGGTCGACAGTAGTTGCGTAGGTCTATTCCAGATTGAGTCCCAAGGATAAAACCGTAGCGGGGGCAGTGAAAATTGTAGTTCTCAACGGAAACCGAAGCTCAAAAAGTTCTGTCCTGGGGAACGCCTGCGTTCAGCTGGGACCCCGTAGAGGTAGATGCGCTGAGACCGTCGTAGATAGCGAGGAGAATATGTTAAGAATACTTTGTTTGCAACTTCAAGAACTAGGAAGTGACGTAGAGACGGGACAATGGGAACGCAGAGATTTCCAAGGAAGGAACAACAGAAAACCTTGTAGCAGGCCCTTTTTTACTCACAGCTCGGCTAAGGCCTTCAACGTACTATATGCAGAGAGAAAATGACTTGAAAAGAGCTGGTAAATCTCTAGGGATAGGTGGTAGCGTTGGTACACTCTGTCACAGTGATGAATGGTACAAAATTGTTGATTGAAAATTGAAGGACAACGTCTGTGTTGAGAGATGCAATAGGAAAAAAGGATACAAGGTGTGAGGGACTTGAAAACATTTCCCCATTTCGTCTACGTAATTCGTAAAGCGGTTTCTGGACGACAGCAACGACGGCCTGACGCAAGGTTCGAAATGCCCTTGTTGTGGCCCTTCATCTGGTAACTATGTGGGCAAGCTGCAACGACGGGCTGTGATGGCAACGGGCAGATATTAATGATATTTTTCTAATGCTTAGCAGATAAAGATTCGGATATGGAGATATAGAAACGAGGTACGAATATCGCTGGTACAGTACGTTCTCACGAAATGAGTTTTGTTCTTGGGCCCCGAATCCTGCAAAGACAGAAATCTTCAAACATAAAATGAGAGATATCCAGCAATGTGAGGTGAACGAATCATCCAATGGTAGGTGTTACGGATCTCTATTTCTGAATAACTACTAGATTCTTACACTGCCGCTCACTGCCACGTGGATAAATTCATTCGTGCCTATTTTGTGTCATCGTGCAGCATTTTCGGATTCCATCCTCTGAGGCTTTGCTGGGAGGACTTCGACCAATTCAACCGGAGAGAGAGGTATCCAAATTACGAGATAGTAAAGCTTTCGTACTCGCCCACGTGGCCAAATCTCCAACAGGGAGCATCTGAGGTCGTCCATGCCATAGCCCCCTATTCAGATGCTATCCTTGCGGTTTCAACGGAGATACGATTTCTGGTTTGTTATGGCTCTACTAACGAAAGATGATGCTGCCCGCCCATGGTTTTCACATAAACGGCTCATAACCTCCAATAGAATATGAAGAAACCAACGTAAATGGCAATGACCAACAAGCTCTGTTCCGTGCCGGGGTGACAGCCAGCTCTGTGAGGACTAACATCCGCCCGCCTTCATTGCCTGTAGTCATGTAGACGTTCACTCAACGACGAGTTTGCTGAACGGCCGAATACTGTGCTAAAAACTTATTTCTTATTTCTTGGGTCATGATGACCCAAGAAATAAGTTTTAGAACATATCATGTGATGATCACATGATATGTTCTAAAACAACATAATTTTTCAGAACATACAGTACTCAGAGTATTTCACATACCATCATTAGCTTCCCCCCCATCCCGATGGTACAGTAGTTAGTATACCATCATGACACTTGTCCCTAGATATCTGTCGATATGAGATAGCATTCGCAACAATAGTCAATGAATAAAGCATTTACACCATTAGTTAGGAAAGCGAGACCAAACATCATTCGCAGACAAAAAATCGTTCTGACGTACCCCTTTTTCCTGTTTGGATACGTGCATACTGCCATTCATCTGTTGACTGAATTTCTGGAGGTAAGGGGAGTTAAGTGAGTACACACAGCATTCAAGTCCTGAACTTTTATTCTTCTTTATCTGAAGGTATCACTCTGGAGTAGTATAAATTATGTTCAATTTATCGTTATCCAGCATTTATTCATTCTGGTTAAAACAGCTTATCGGCAAGTCCGAACTCATGCGGGCAATCCCGTCCACCCAGATATAAGGACAGGGTACCGTACACAGTAGAAATAGCAACCTCACATTCGAGGGGCGTTTTTGTCCATTTTTATATGCACAAAACATTAAAAATCGAGGACCAAAAAAAAAAAAAAACAGCTGAGTGACACGCATCCAATAGAAACCTGGTCAGAGTGATCCATGAATAACAGCGATCATCAGCCACCTAGACCCCCCTGAGTGCCATCACCACTGCGCCTTGTTCACCGAAGGCTAAACCCGCTGTCCAGCTCACGCCCCGAGACGATGGCAAGGGTATCAGAGAAAGCCCTTCGACCGCGAGAATATGTGTTCAACCGCCTCTCAGCCGAGCGGATAGCACAACTCACGCCCGGCGTGCGAAAGTTGATGAGGAAGGAGCGAGAGGCGGCGGCGCAAGCACGAGCGGCTGAAGCCGCCCGGGAGGCGTCAGAGGCCGCAAGACACGCAGAGAATATTATCGCTGGCGTGCAAACGCCGGACCCCGAAAGTGAAGCGATACGCGCGCTTGAGAAAGAGTTAGAGGAGCTTCGCGAGAAGAAGCGACGCCTTTATGTGCAACTGAAGAAAAAACTTGAGAAGGATGGGGCGCATAAGGTGGAGATGGACATTACTAGTGATACGGGATCGCTTGCAAAACAAGAGAGTATTTTAGAGAACCCCCCCAAGGAGGATGGATCGGGTCACGGGGCGGGGACACAGAATGCCAAGTAAAGGGCTTGGTCATCTTTTTAACGCTTAAGCACCACGACAATTAGTCTCATTGTCGGTATAAAGATTATAGAGACTCCGCTTTACTGTCGCTTAGTAAAGTACAGAGTCATCTCAATACATTGCTGATACTGCCTGCGAACATGGCTGCAGTAGTAGATTTTGAAGTCCGAGTAGTTCGCGAAAATGAGCAACCGTCTGGATTAGCCTAACTGTTTCTCTAAGGGAATTAGCTGACTTGAAAAAACGAGCCACATAGACGACTGCATTAGATAACGACTAGATGCAGTGTGATCGATTCATATCTCGACGAAACGCGCTCCGCAACGAAACGGAAAGCTTCAACCTAAAGAAAGAGCACCAGCAGGAAACAAAAACCCAAACTTTTTGTACAGGAAACGCTCTTTTTTCTTTACAAACAACTCAAAGAGTACACAACTCGCAGCCCTCACAGTCACGAACGGCATCAGCCCCCGATAGCAGTCGATAGCGTGGTGGTCCTTGCTTTTTTCCCCACAACATTCGGGCAACTCGATTTCCTCCTTTCCAAGTTGGAAATCGCAGTAAAATCTCGTTGCCCGCGAAGAAAACAATGCCGGTATGGGGGAAGTTTATGAATATATACAAGGAAGAAACCAGAATCAAGACTTCCACAATGTCGACATCGACAAAAACGTGGGGCAAAGAACCGATCGGACTGAAAGCAACGACTCCTTGAGTGTTTCGTAATCATACAAACAAGTTGACAGAATACAAAGGCGACGGAGGAGCAAACTGCGACTCTCCGGCGGAAAAAAGGATGAAAGGTTGCAAACTTGTTCACGCAAGGAAACTTGGATACGGATAGACCAAGCCGAACCAATAAAGTTGCAAACGTGCAAGTGGCTAACCCCCAAGCTTCATCTTCAGAGCAGCTGAAGAAGGGCTTGGCGTGGGGGCGCCCGTTGCTCTTGGTTGGTTGCACATGCTTCTTATTCCTTTCAGCTCTGCATTTGCCATATTCAAGCGCTGTTTGAGCTTTGCGTTCTCATTGTGCAACAAGACGCCCATGTCAACCATGCGGTGGGTTACTTGCATAATGTCATCAATCTCCGTCTGCAATTCTGCGAGGGTGGCTTGTCTCTTCTGCCTCGATCTGCGTGCGGATTGGCGGTTGCGAAGCTTTCTCTTGAACAGAACCAACTCGCGTTCTGTGGCGGTCATTTTGCGGACTTCTGCGCTGGTGGTTCCATCGAGATTCCCCAGAACCTCCTTCGGAAACTGCTTTGCTTCGCGTTCTCTCTTTTCCTTGAGAGAACCTGCGGGGGTTTCGACCACCGGCTGCGTAGGCCCTCTTGGTGCAAAGGGTTTCCGCTGGACTTGAGGCGATGTGCGAACCGGAGCGGGGATCGATTTGGCGAGCGGCTGAGGCGAACAGGCGGTAAGGGTGTTTCCTAGGTCCTTAACGACTCTCTTGATAGCTGTACTGACCGGCACGGGCTTGGATGGGGCGGAGGGTTGGACGGGGAGCTTCCGTGGTTCCTTCTTGACGGAGGCGACGTGAGCATTGGAGGGGATGTTTTCCTTTCTGACGTGAGGCGGTAATAGGTCGGCAGTGGAGACATGCGTGGGGACTTGAGAGGTTTTCCCGATTCGACCCGAGGCGACAGGCAAGGTGGGAAGCAGAAGGTGAAGATCGGGTGGAGGTTGTGCTTCATCTGCGGGTTCGCCGTCATCAAGACGGACTTGGAGGGTAGGGGAGAGGGAGGGCTGGGTCCAGGGCCATGCGGATGGGGAGGTTGAGTCGGAGGGAGAGGGTTGGGGGGAGGATGGGGCGCAGGCCAGAGAGTCGATCATGCCGAGATCGTCCCAGAGGGCCTCGTCGCGTTCTTCCATGATGGTGGAGGGCGAGCAGGGTGGAAGGGGAGCGAGACGGAGTGGAGGGTGGAGGAGGATTGTTTTGTCTGGGAAGGTAGGTGTGGTGGGCGT